TTTTTTCCTTTCATAAGCTCCCTTCTTTTGTCAGCTTCTCCATTCCAAAGATTTCAGATCTTTTCAGAAAATCATTCTCGAATAAAGCCTCTAGGAGATCCTTAAGTCACTCTTTCACATGGGCTAATTTTTATTGTGGTTTTCTCATTAACAGTCTTCCTTGAAGAATTTGAGTGAAAGAAACAGGTGTATTATTTCATATGACCTCATTATTTGGGATTCAGTCTTTGCATAATTACATTTGACTTAGAGTTAGAACTTTTGTTTATGGTTCGAGATTTAGAGATTTTTTTTTAAAGATTTCTTTTCTTTAGCCCCTATTCAAAAGTTAAAAAGACTAAGACATTACAGAGACCAAATGGGCATTTTCTAAATTCCTGTTAGAAATAAACAAGGATGTTGAATTGCACAAAAGCTAACCTAAGCACTCATTTGAAATCAAACCCAAGGTAAAACTTACTGTTTTGGATTACAAAAAGTTTAGTTAGTAGACGGTAAGATTGAGCTTTTCTATACTTCCTGATTTGCATTTTTTGAGACCCTAACATTTGTTCATTCTTGGAACTCCTATGTAAGAACAGTATCAATGCTTTGTGATTGCCTGGCACATTTTGTTGGTCATAATTTCATAAAAGATGTGGGTACATGTAGTTAAGTATGTATTCTTTATGGTTCGAAATTGGAGAAAATAAGGTCTCCTGCAGGCATTGTTGATACATGTTTATGCTACTGAAATACATTTAGACCTAGGATTTATTTGTAAATGTACACTTGGCCATTTGTACATGGATGTATTCACTCCTATGAGAAATACTAAGCATTTTGAGAAAAAGTAATGTGAATTCAGAATAGTCCCTGCAAATAATATGAGACAGGAACAATCTGTGTTAAAATGGAGTTTAATATACATAGTATTATGGGAGAGCAGAAGAGGGACGTTTTGGACAATTTGAAAGGGTTTGCCATCTGTGGTAAAGCCTTGAGATAGTACTTCAATAATGGGAAATAAAAAGGAAGGAAAGCTAATCAGGCTGAGGGAATCACATCAACAAAGGCACAGGGCATGAAACAAGCCCTCCCTTGAAATGTCAGAAATGGGAAATGAAGAAGCAGTTTTGCCCAGCTAACGTCATAAAGTTGGAACACTTTAACACCATTTCTACTATCTATTATTTTAATTTGTTCTTCTTGTACTTTGCTTTGTCAACTACAAGTGTTATTACCTTTTTATGCATTTAATATTTGCTTAAATTTGCTAACACACATCTGTAACTTTCTTTTTTCCTTGTATCTCAGACTTCTTATCTGGAGTCTCTTTCCTTCTGCTTGAAGCAATTGCTTTACAGTTTCTTTTAGTGAAGTTCTGATGTGATGTGTGATCTGTTTTTGCCTTTTTTCTATCATTCTTCTTTATTCCTTAATTGAAGAAGTTTGTGTATTTATAATTCATAGAATTGTTAATCTATTTGGATATTTTGTGCTTTCTATTTATTTATTCCACTTATTGTAGCTTTTCACTCTTTCTGCCCCCCCCACCACCACATCTCTTGCTCTCTCACTGATTTTGATTGATTGAGAATGGCTTCAGTTTTTCCCCTTACAAGTGTGGTATTAATGCCCACTCAGTGACTAATCTAGAAATTCCATATGCATCCTTAACTCATCAAATTCCAAGGTCAATCAAGGCCAATGTTTTCCTCCTGAATAACAGAGAAATTTTGTATAATTTAAAGCATTTTTACTCTCATCTTAAATTATATGGTATTGCTTTATAAATTTGAATTTCAATTGATGTAAATCCCACAAAATATTATTTTTACTGTACATAGTCAATTTTTATTTACACATTAATTATCTTTATTCCATTATGGACCTCTATCTGGGATCATTTCTCATCTGACTAACATATATCCTTTAGGGATTTACCTTTAGTATAGGCTTGAGGATGGAGACTTCTCTTTTTCTGTGTATATGTCTTAAATGTCTTTACTTTTGAATAATATTTATACGGAGAATTGAGTCCTAAGTGGGCTCTTGTTTTTTTGCTTTCTGTGTTTTTTTCCCCACAATGAAGATATCATCCCACTTTCTCAGGCTTGCATTATTCCTGTTGAGAAGTTAGGTGTCAAATTTCTTTGAAAGTAGGGTTTTATTTTTTCCTGTTCTTCTAAAAAATTGTGTATTATCTTCTTTCTATACTGGTTTATTCTAACGTGTCAGGTTGTGGATTTATTTTGAATTATTCTGCTTGAAAATTTTTGATGTTTTTGAAACAATTTTTTTCCTCTAGAAAATTATCAACTGTTAACTTTTCAATATTTCTTCTGCTCTTATTTTTCTTTCCTCCTTTCCTTTTAGTATTTTCCACCTTTTTCCACTCTATTTTCTATATCCTAACTTCTCTTTGAGTTTACTATGTCCTGTCTTTCCATGCCGAAATCCAGATACTTCATTCTGATCTATATATATTCCAGTTCACCAATTATGTTTTCTGCTCTGCCTAATCTCCCATCAGAAATGTCCAGTGAATTATTAAATGTAATTGTTTTTTCATTTCTCAAATTTCTATTTACTATTTCACCGCTTACATTTTCCTGCTCCCTGCACATATTTTTAGCTTTGATTTTTATTTGTTTAAATATAATTGTCTTTTTTAAAAATAATGTTGGCTTGATGTTTTCAGTATTTAAAATTCAGCGTGACTCTCTTTTTGCTCTGTATTGTTTTCCATCTGGTTTTGCTTATATTGTCTATTCCCTTTGTGACTGGCCAAGCTTTGTATCCTGGTCCTGGCCTTCAGAAAAGTATACCAGTTTCCTGAGACCTAGAAGAACTCTCCTTTTTGCAGAGAGTTGAACTGTTTGATTCTGCTTGGTATCTGGGAGAGTGCCATTTTGGGACTCTCTAAAATCAGTTTTATGGCTTGGTGTTCCCTGCTCCACCATGATTATGTGTAAACCTAAAGAAAGCAATACTGTGGCTAAAATGTCTCAGGTACATTTTATTCTCTTCCTTCTCATGCTGGGCTCAACACCAAAGTATTCTTTTCCTTGGTTATCTATTTTTTAAGGAGGGCAGGAGAATCATGTTTATGCTTGCCCATCCTAAAATTCCAACTTAATATAAAGAAGGGTATTCTGTGAGACTCTCACTTTTGATGAGCCTGGCCCTCAACTTAGTATTTCTCACTATACAAGTCTAGCACATCGAAACCTAGAGTGTGATACTGGCAAGTGCTGCCACAGGGACATGGCTTTGTGCTTTAGCACTTTAGCTTACTATCTTTTCAGATCTAGAAATCTTTTAAGATGATTACATTAACCAGTTTTAATTTTTTTTTTTTTTGAGAGAGAGACAGAGAGATAGAGACAGAGAAAGAGAAGGAGACACAGAATCCAAAGCAGGCCCCAGACTCTGAGCTGTCAGCACAGAGCCTGACACGGGGCTCCAACTCATGAACTGCGAGATCATGACCTGCTTGACTGAGCCACCTAGGCGCCCTGATGATTACATTTTTTATTCTAACATTTGTCTTATTTTCATAGGAGAGACGATTAAGAAAAATTTACCTAATGCACTGTAATTTTTTCTGACTTCTTAACTCTCCCATTTCTGACCACCATTTCTGTAATTATTTTTGCATATTACCAAATTCTATGATGTCAACTTGAGGTTCATAGATTCCTTAAAACTGAAACAAAACCAAAATAATGTGTTCTGTTGAGTAACTGATATATAAAAATATTTCATATCATTTTGTATTAATTTTGTCACTATTTACTTTCCTCTTTTACCAGTAAAGTGACACTAATACTTACAACTTAATACCCATATCTTTCCACTACATTATCTTTCCTTCCATCAGACAGGGCATATTTGTGTGTCTCATAATTTTTCATTGTCCAACAATTTATAATTTTGATACATATATAAAACAAATAGATATTTGTTTTAGAGCACTAAAATTGATATATGCATATAGTAGGAAATCAGAGCAATAGATAAAAAATAACCTATGATATTTTGGCACAACTATTGTTATCGTGTAGGAGTATTTCTTTTCACTTTGACTCAGTAGACTTTTATTACAAAGCTGTTAAGCATAAAGTGATACATCTTTTCTCTCTAGTTAACATGGGTAAGTGCTTATGGGTAAATTGGCTGGACCAATTCGAAAGATTTTGGCATCCAGAAACAAAAGTTTGCTATTCAAATTGACATAAATGAAAAGGGAATTTATTACCTCACAAAGCAATGAGTCTTGTTGATGTATATAGGTTAAGCTACAATAAAGATGAGACTTCAAATACATGGTTAAATAAGATGTTATATCAACTGGTTTATTGCTGACACTTATTAGTGAGTGTGTAATATTGCATTAACTGGTAGGCTCAAGTTACAAGCTAATACTTTAAGGATAGCTCATCTCTGGTTGACTTCTAGATCAGTATTTATCCAGGGCAGTTGCCTCAAACTGTTCAGAAGTCATGAATTAAATAAGGGTAATAACAGTAGGGCTTGTTACATTAGAAGGTACATATAAAAACACTTAGACATGTTTCTGGAACATAGTCAGCACTCTGGCATTTGCCATTTTCCATACTCAAAATTTCAGACAAGTTGGGATATAATAATACACAGAGTTGGCATGTTATATGCATTATTATTTCCCCCAAATTTTAGGTAAACAATGTAGAAAACTAACAACACAAACCAGTTGCAGGTCTTCCTTTTCTGGAATTTTAAGACTCATCAAATTAAGAAAGTTAGACTTTGGGCATTTGTGGCAGAATTATGTTTTGTGTGTATGGGAGGTATTTTCTTACTACAGCCTGATTTTATCTGGTTCTCATAGTTTCTCAGCACTGGTTCAGCTGATAGTCAGGAACTTTCTTTTCTTTTTAAAAAATGCACATAAAATCTATAGTGATAATTAACTGTATCATCACATATTCATATTTCTATTCTAAATTAAATTGATTCTTTTTCTTCATACGTAGATGTGGTACATCTGTAGCAATCTCCATACATGCCATGTGGCCACTTGGATTACTTCTAAAGCCTCTTTTCTCACAAAGAGTAAGTAAATATCTGCTCTGTAGATACTTACATAGAAGTTTTCCAGTTTGCTGGAGGAGCGGCACAAGGTGTGCAAGGGAACCTCTCCCACATTTGTGGAGTGTAGACAGTCACACCTAGTCAGCATCTTAGAGGCCATCCCCTTATTTTTCAGGGGATGACATAGAACCCCCAAGATAGTTTCTCCTCCATGCCAAGTGACAGCGTATAGCTGCTCACCTCCATCATTTAGAAGAGTCGGTCTGCCTCTCTCTTGACAATTTTAGTTTGGTAATTTTATGTGTCTCTTTGGGCTGTCTCATCAGTGATTTAAAGGACTCCTATAATCTCCCTGGATCTTAAATTCTGAATCATAATGGCTTTCCCACAGTACTTACCCCTTTGAAGAGCTGTTCAAGTTCTTCTAAATTCTTCTTAGATTTTCTGCTGCATTTACAGACACTTACTCTATTTCCATTATTCATGAAGGCATGCAAACAGTTGGAAGATCTAAAAATGTTAGCCCGTGATTTCTTTATTTTTAATTCCTGATCATATTTGGATTAAATCCACCTTAAAATACCCTCTAGATATTAATTTTCAGTAGTTGTATTGTAAAGGCTTTGTTGTGCTTTTGTTTACAAACAGGGCACAGATGTGAAATTTGGTTGGACCAATTAGAAAGATTTTGGTATCTAGAAACAAAAGTTCACTATTGAAATGAACTCAAAAGGAACTATATTACCTCACAAAGCAATGAGTCCTATTGAAGCATGGCATATTAGGTGTGTATAGGTTAGGCTACAATAAAAATGAGACTCCAAAATGCACGGTTAAACAAGATGAGATTTTCTCTTTCTCAAGACGAAGGTGGACCATATCTAGAGGAGGGTATTCAGGGCAAGTCTGTGGCTCTGCTCTGTGAAGTCCTCCTCCCCAGAAGTTCTGTTTGTTGTTACTCTAGCAGCCTATATGATGTTATCATCATTCTTCTGTTCGTTTCTGGCTCATTTGACCCCGTATATGTTCTAGCCCATGGGAGAAGGGAACAAGAAATAAATACAAAGCAAGCAATTTCCTTTTAAAGGAGTAACCGGGCAGTTCTGTTCACATTCTGTTTACAAGGTCTCATTCTCATGGTCACACCTAGCTGTGAAAATGACTTGCCTAATAAAATTGAAGAGAATTTGGGGCACCTCTGTGGCCCAGTGGTTAAGCATCCAACTTCAGCTCAGGTCATGATCTCATGACTCATGAGTTCAGGCCCCGCACTGGGCTCTGTGCTGACAGCTCAGAGCCTGGAGCTTGCTTCAAATTCTGTCTCCCTGTCTGTCTGCCCCTCCCCCACTCATTCTCTCCTTCGGTGGGTCTTTCTCTCTCTCTCAAAAATAAACATTAAATTTAAAAAAAAATCGAAGGGGATTTTGCTACTAAAAAATGAAGGAGAGGAGAGTGGATAGGGCTGGGGGTGGGAAAAATTAGCAGCTCCAGTCATAGGCAAGTTACATAGTATATTGATTTAGTAGCTCAATTGTATCAACTTTATTCCTTCCTATGTTCTTTTCTACCATCAACAATGTATCACTTTTCCCTGATGTCATTTCCCCTCACTGTTCAAGAAAATCCAGAGATGATTCAGTTTAACAGTCTAGATATAAGATATTCAGGGACAAAAAGGACTATTTTTTTCTCTAAGATTTTATAGCTAGAGTGATTTAATCTTACCCAGAAGCCCTTCAGCAAACTCTCACAGGGTATCATGCCCATTGCTGGATCCACAAAGAGAATCAGAGCACTATTATTATTTAGAACAGTTTGTATTAACTGCTGAGCTGGAAGTAATTGGTCTTAACCCAGGAAAAGCCACAGAGGTAAGAGGTAGGCGTTTGAAGAAAACCTGGAGTTCTAAATTGAAGGAAGAAGAGGGAGGATGGATAGAAAGTAACCATTGCTTACTGAACAACTATGTTGCGAAACAATGAAAAGTACAGTTTTCCAGCTTAAAGTAGTTCTAGGAATCTTATAATCACTTTTCTTTCCCCAAATAAAGAAATTAAGGTACAGATAGTTTAAAGGACTTGCACAAGGTCATATGGCAAACTAATGTTTTAATGGTATAATGCCATTCTTCCAAAAGCCCTCCAAACAAACAAATGTGCATATAAATAAACAAAGCAACCCATTTTTCAACATATGTTTATGTTGATAAAGCAACAGCTATATAAGTTTGTACACATGAATGAACAGCTAGAATTTATTTTAACACTTTCTCCAAGGGGCTTTAAAAATAACAACTGTCTCCAAGTCGTAATTTTCTACTTCTGGTCTTCAAGAAAAGCAAATGTTCTTCCTCTTTGTGACTTCCATCAGGTTCAGACATTTGAAAGGTATGGTGATTACATCAGGCAGTGTTAGTTCTGTAGTTATTATGTAACTAGTTCTGCGTAGAAGAAGGACAGCGGAGGGGGGTGGGGGAGTAAATGTGAGAGACAAGAATTCTGCATGAGGAAAATGGAGCCATAAAATTAATACAGGTGCTGGAGAAACATGAGGGGTCAGAATAGATCCTATGGACTGTAGTGTAGAAAATAATCATGAGGTAGATGACTATAGATTTCCAGTTAGTGCAGTTTTGTAAGCATAGACTGAATATTAGAATAGAGGTGTCACTATGGAGTGCTCAGAATGACAAAGACGGGGACACTAAGCAGTGAGAAGAAGGGACACTAGCTCCAGGAGACAAACCAGAGAATTGGATAATGGTCCACAGGGACCCCGCTGGACTCATGCAAGCCCGTCTCTCAGATTGCTCTCTGATTTAGACTTTGAATTTCTCTCTCGAGAGTGAGGGAGACCTATAGGAGATTTTTAGCAGGGGATGACAATTAGATCATTAAAAAACGAATTGGATATATGTGTGGATGATAAACTGGAAAATGGAAAGAAAGAAGTCAGTGAAACCAGTTAAGAACCTTTCCAGTAACCAAGGGGCAAGTTTCTGTTTTGTTTTGTTTGCTTTTTGGTAAAGGTTTAGAGGACTCTGATTTAGAAAGGCACAGGGGGAAGCAGAACACAAAGGAGAACATACTTAAAAGGTGGAGGTAGCAGGTCACAATATATCTCCAGAGGTCAAAATTTGAAGAGATGTGTGGCCACACTTCAAGTCAATATAAGACAGAGCTCTCTCATACGTAGAACTTTCAAAAACTGTAGTAAGCCATCTCACTGGGTGGGAGCTCCCTCATCACTGAAAGTCGTCAACCCGAGGAAACCTGGAAAAAAATATTAACTTGTGCATCCAGTGTGATTGAAAAGAAAGGTAATCACAATCTTTCATGCCGTCATGCAAATATTTGATGACTGTATTCTGGAAATGTGTCCTTAGATAGAAGAGCTTAATAAACACAGAAAAAATATTTTCAAGAACCTATAAGAAAACACCCTGCAGGTTTACTAAACTTGAGAGAGAGAGAGAGAGAGAGAGAAATACAAACAAAATGTAATGTGTATATGTTAAATCAGTGGTTTTCAACTGAGGGTAATTTTTCTTTATTTCCTAGAGGTCATTAATTAATGTCTGGAGACATTTTTGCTTTTCACAACTGGGGAGGTGTTACTAACTTCTAAGAGTGAGCAGCAAGAGCATCCCCCAGGCCCCACTCCAGAGAAAAAGAAAAGCATTATCTGGCCCAGGATGTCAGTAGTATTGAGGTGTGAGAAACCCTGCTTTAAATGAAAATGTACACAACCACTCAATCACCATTCTTGTTTCGTTTGAAATTGCGTATGCTGTTGGTCATACATTGTGCTGATTTACAGATACATGTGTAAGGGAGGCAGGAGCTAGGTGATTTCCCCAGTGCGTGCTGGAAGTAAAGCATCAGAAATAAAATGTGTCTAAGAGATTAGAATAAGACCGCATTCTTCTTGCTGTGAATGACTTCTTATTCTATTTCATTATTAAAATATGTTCTTCTTCTCAGAAGCGTAACATTATTTAGTGTGACATCTCATTTAAAATTGTCCTTGAGAACAGTAGATAATAATATTGTACCTGGTTTCATAATTTGACTCAAAAGCTAAAAACCAGCCACATTTGTTAAGCACTTTATTTAAAATTGGTTAATGTGTGCAAAAGTTATAAATTAGAGCGACACCTTTCAAAAAGGCCTATTTAAACTACACCACAATAAAGTATGCCTTGAGTTCAACAGCATATTTGTTATTAATATCGACCTTGTCGACATTCCAGTAAGGAGGACTTTGTGGTGGTGAACATTGTCAAACTCCTAAAAATGATGATGTAGCAAATGAGGGGCTTTCCCTGTGGTACAGGCATTAGAAAAGACCTTAGAAATTGCCCAGTTTTACATGATGAACAAGTGCTCAGAGAAAAGGAGTCTAAAGATTCGCATTTGGTATTAGCAGTTTATTTGCAGACTAGAACTCAGGCATTCTGACTCCGAGCCAGCTGCTGCTTCCGACTTCAGGATATCTCCATTTTGGAAGAGAACCCATGTTTCGAGGGATCATGTAATGCAGATTCTCCCCAGGTTGGAATTTGTAGTTATTGGAACTCAATGTTGCTGAAGAGGAAAAATGGAAATATTGCAGACTGTACCTCAAGAGTATCTTTCACTTTTACACATGGAAGGTATCTAAATTTATTTTAATTAAAAACTTGGTTAACTTAAAAGACACTCAACTTTGTCTACAGTAACTTGACTATGGAATTATAAATTCATTGATTACCAGCTAATGTCCCATGGTGCACAGCCTCATGCAAAACATGAAAACTGGCCGATCTCTATCATACTTAATGTTTTAAAGCTGGTTCCTCTGTCTGAAGTGCCTTTCCCTTCTTTCTTTTTTGGTCTAACCCCCAACCGCCTATACCTGCAAGGTCTCTTATTGAGTGTCATATCCTCGGAGAAGCTTTCCCAATCATCCTCTGGTTTAGGTGACATTTCTCTACTTTTAAACCTCCTGTGAAGGTAGCTATTACAGGACATTTCACACTATAATTTATAACTGTTTTCTATTCCACTAAAGAATGTGGCCCTTGAATTGCATTTCATCCCCTGCTTCTATCAGTATTAATAATAGATTTTAGGGGAGCTGGGTGACTCAGTTGGTTAAGCGTCTGACTCTTGATTTTAGCTCAGGTCATGATCTCATGGTTCATCAGATCGAGCCCCATGTCAGGCTCTGCTTTGACAGTGCAGAGCCTGCTTGGGATTCTCCCTCTCTCTCCCTCTCTCTCTCTCTCTCTCTGTCTCTCCCTCACTTCTCCTCCCCCGCAAATGCTCTCTCTCTCTCACTTTCTCCCTCAAAATAAATAAACCTAATTATAATAATAGACTTTTAACGAATGCAATCTCAGTAAATAAAATTTGTAGTTTCTCTTTTAATATCTTTAAAAAGAATATTCCAAGCCTTCTTTTCAAATCTAATCTTTCCTTTCAGAAAATATTTCGTCTTATTTAGTTCTTTTTATTCTGTCGACAAGATTATGTTCTATTAATTGTACGTAGAATGATGTCTTTCATATATCCATTTATGTATATGCTTACACATACACACAATCATACAGTAGGTTGGGAGAGAAGAAGCTATGCCATTTATAGGTTATTACATTTGGTCAGGTTCATATCACGTGTAAATATGTGAAGCTCTGAAGAAAAATGATAATTGATATTCTTGACAGAATGTCTACTTTGTGCCAAGCAGCATCCAGACATTTACAAATTTGTACCCCTAAATCTTGCAACTATCTTAAAAGTTAGCTGGACAAATAGTCAAGAAAAAATTCTTTGAATTTGAATCTTTGAATTTTCAACCTTTGAATTTTGATTCTGTCATTGATATTCTTAAACAACAGTACATTCATTAATAATAATAATATTGAAAGGTTGTCTTAAAAATTAAACAAATTAGTGCCTTAAAAATCTTAGCACACAGAAAGGTATATCAGCATTTATTGAATATTTGCTTTGTCCGTTTTCATTATTATTGTTATGTAGAGAATTTAAAAACCATTAAAAAATCTGTCTCCAGCCTAAGTGTCCATCAACAGATGAATGGATCAAGAAGATGTGGTTTATCTATACCGTGGAATACTACATGGCAATGAGAAACAATGAAATCTGGCCATGTGTAGCAACATGGATGGACCTTGAGGGTGTTATGCTGAGCGAAATAAGTCAGGCAGAGAAGGACAAATATCATATGTTTGCACGTATAGGAGGATTAGGAGGAACTTGACGGAGGAACAAGGGGGAGAAGAAGGGCGGAAATGGTGGGGGAAAGGGAGAGAGGCAAACCATGAGAGACTCTTGAATGCTGACAAAAACTGAGGACTGATGGATGTGGGGGGGAGGGGGGGTATGGGCATGGAGGAGGACACTTGTGGGGATGAGCACTGAGTGTTATGTGGAAACTAATTTGACAATAAACTATTTGTAAAAAATAAATAAAAATAAAGACAATAAAAAAATCTGTCTCTTTCCTTTATATTTGAGTCAAATAAATCAATTTTCAGTTAATTATGTATTCGAAGAATATTCTACATAATTGCCAGAATAGTAGGAATTAGAGCAGTGGTTTGGTTGACTTTAATTTTACCAATCTGTTTCTCATTCTTTTCATGAAGCAGGGATCTGTTTAAATTTTGTCAAATTTATGGTTGTTTGAAAAGATATGTGTAGCTAATTCGTCTGCCTCTGTGTGTGAACCTATAGCACCTATCACTCCAATCCGCAGTGGTTTGGCAGGCTCACAATCTAAGAATGAAATGATCGAGGAGAGAGAGGATGGATATGCTCAGTGGTGTAAACACAGGGATAAGGAAAAGCAGTGTGGCTCTGCCTCAAATGTGATCAATTTCAGTAGCTAGGTTTGAAATTTATTACCTTTAATTCCAGATCCAGTTAAAGAAACTTTATGCCTGAGAGGTTCATTCTGGTGTTTCCCTTCCAACACCAATGCACTGATTCATGTCATATGATACTACATTAAATACTATGACATGGCATATGAACCCAGCTCTTGGACCAATGTCCCACCAATACACCACAATTCAGGGGAGTCAGTCACTCTCCCCTTTGCCTCACTTCTGTTTGTGGAGGAGTTTGAGTGGACTTGTTGGTGAGAATGTGGATTTATCACACTGTTTAAGCTGTGGCTCTTGCTCTTGAACATGGATATCTCCTTTTCATCCTTGGCTCTCTTTATGGACTCAGCTTGTTCTGAAACAGAATGCTTTTGTGTAAAACACTTATGCCCATTTCTAGGCTATTGTCTCATTGTAGTCCCATGCAACACAAGGGGACGCTGAAGGATCACTCAGCCAGTCCATCACATTCCTCTGGGTGCAGTACTCCAGCTCAACAATGCACAGGTGCAAGTCAATTTAATTTTTAAAGATTCTTCTGAACAATTGAACAATTGTGAAAGCCCAGCTCAGTTTTTAACTGTCTTTCCTGCTATCACGGACCTTCTTATCTCTAGTTTCAGGCTTTACTCTAACTAATGCCTCTCTGTCACTCTTCAAGGGAATGTGGGAGAAATTGAGTAAAAGAGGCAGTAACTGATAGTACCGTGGTGCTCCAATGGTGGTTCCATGACCAGTAGAAACAGCCACCTGGGAACTTATTAGAAACGCACACTTTTGACTCCCACCCCAGACCCACGGAATCAGAAACCCTGGGGCTGGGGTCTAACACCGTGTTCTTTAGAAAAGCTCACTGGGTGATTCTGAGGCCTGCTGAAGTGTTGGAAACGCCGGTGTAGTGGTTACAAGTACAGACTCTTTGTTCGGATAAACTGGCCCAGCTGATTTCTAGCTATGTGCTCTGGAAAGGTATTAAACAGCTCTGCACTGCTGTTTTCTCATGTAAAATGCAGGTAATAAAGGAATCGACATTATAGGATTGTGAAGTATAAATAATTAATATAGGTAATGCCCTCAAAAAGGTGCCTGCCACATAGTAGAGTGTTTGATAATGATAATTATAACAAAGACCAAAAGAAGGCATTGACAACAGATTCCAAACATTAAGGTGGTGAATAAAATGTCAATATTCCTGAAATCTATTCAAATTTTCACATTATTGTTGTTATTATTGTTATTTTCAGTAATTCTACTCTATTATACTTTCTGCCTAGAACCAGAAACATGATTTGATTTTTTTAGTTGTCAGGTACAACTGCTCCTGCATTTCAAGTGAAAGAAAGAGAAAGAAATCTGCTTTTTTTTTTTTTTTTTTTAATAAATACTAGTCAGTCTTAGAAATGGAAAGCAAAAGTGCAGTAATTGAGTGCTGGGTGTTAGGGAATCAAAAAGTCTTCTCTTTGGAGAAGACTTACAAACCAAGGAGTCACTTATTGGACCTTTTTAATTGATGAAATACAAGGAAACCTCTGTTCTCTTAATCTCTGTCCCTTCATATGCAATCTGCTGGACAAAGTACAAGCGAATTAACTTCCAGGAGCCTCTAGCGGGCTCCCTGCAAGAAAGACAGGCGTGTCAACCTTTGAAGTTTGTCCTAAGGGTTCAATGAGGACACACCTGCAGAGCATCAAGCCCTGAGATGTTGCTCACCAAGCTAGTCTCTCTGAAGAGAAATGTTTGCAGAATAGCAGTGGACTAAGACATGGGGATAAAAGTCTCTATTTCTGTAAGGCAGATGATTGTGATAGGCATGATTTTAATACGGGCAACAGACAAGACAATGCAGAGGAAATGGGTCTTATTAAAAAGATCTAGGTTAAAGAAAAGGTTTGTAGCAACCAATGCGTATTTCATAGCTACAGTAGGTTTGTGTGCTGACCGTCCTTTCCTTGACAGCTCTCATTGCTATTTATGAGATTTCTTATTTTTGGCAATATTAGAAAGTGATTTCCGAGCTTGCCTGCTTATTTACTCTTTCCTACTCCTTGATATAGTTCTTCCCACTTGTGTTTGCAAGTGTTTGGATGTCACCTTTTTGTTAATTAACTCCTTTATTTTTTTCTGTCTCCTTTTTGTGTGCTCTGCAGCTTTCCTTTTTTTTCCCCTTTTTTTGTGGTTTCCTAGTGACAGCTTCCTTTCAATTCCTCTTCTCTGTTTGCCTTTCCTGAGAAGGAGCCAGTGTCAAAATGTTAGCTCAGTCGGGTTTCCCATTACCAGCTCTGCAAATCCCCAGACCCCTCCTGTATTTAGCAGTCTAGGAGCTATTATGGCCCAAACATCATTTTCAAATTGTCATGTAAATACATTCACAAGGCACAAGAAAATAGGAAAAATACAAACACCTGTGAAATAATGATTGCTGTTGCCTTACCTCGGGCCCACTCCGTGTTAGAGGTATCCAAGTTCTTTCACTGGAAACTGATACAGCTATGCTGTAACTGTGAAATTAATTATCAGCTAGTAGGGTTAAGGACTTAAGGTGTGAAAATTGCTGGTTGACAAAAGCCGTGGCTCCATTACATCTCAAAAAACTGAAGGAAATAAAATGAACTTGTCTCAAAACCTTCAGTCTATTAGTCTGTTAACAAATACCCCTGAAGGGTGTCCCATGGGGAAGAATTAGTCAAGTAACAGCAACAAAATAAAAATGAAGTCGGCAACTTACATGTGGTATCTTCTTGACCTTCAGTGTTCTTAAGCAGATACTTGGGCATTAATTACCAGGCACTCATTGATCAGAAAACAAGTTGGGTTAGGTGAGATGGAAATATGTGATCTGCCTCACAGTGTGACTTTGAAGAATTGGCCTTTCTCAACTGTGTGGTCCTGGTAACATTCAACAGAATAACTCCCCTTTCTAGCTCAGTGATTGGTACCAGCAGGACATCTGACCAAAAAAACATGGATGAGAGACTACCTGATATTTGATAAATATATGTTCTATTCTTATTTGAAGGTTATTAAGATGCTTGGCTTAGAGTTGTCAGCAGTTACCTTTCCCTCTTCCTGGCAAATGTTTCTTTCCAGAGAGAAGCCAACAGAGAGAGGGGACCAAAGATGACAGTTCAAGAGGGAAATGTAGAGCCCCTGATAAAATGGTCAGAGCCTCTGGCCTCCATCCATACCTATGTCAGCTTTGTTTCTTAACTTGAAAGTTTCGTGAGTCAATAAATTCATTTTTACTTGAGCTGTCTCAGCTGGGTTTCTGACCCTTGCTACCAAAGACTTCTGACTAATATAGAAGTCCTATTAAGAACTCTCTCAAGTCCAAGGTAAGCTATTCTTTTTTGAGTGCCTAAATATGATAGGTCTATAACAAGCATTGGGGTACAAAGACACCTGACATATACCTTGACTTCCGTGACCTGTTCCTCTTACTGAGAATATAGGGCGTATTATACAAATAGACCCCTAGTGTACAGGAGGGTAAAAATAGTGATTAAATAAGGAAAAGGAAATATGTACTAGTAAGAGATCTGAGAAAACTGATTTTAGCTAGCAGAAGCTAAGAAATAAAACTATCACAGTGTTGCTTTGTAAATAGGTTCAAAAAGCTTCATAAGTTAGTCCAAGGATCTCTTCAAAGGGAACTAACATTTATTTCAGTAAACTCAGACATTGGGACAAGAGGAACAACTGAAATATCAGTTACAATACTTGGATTAGTGGCAAACACTATGATAATTAAGATGGAAATAACATTTTACATTTTCTAGCTATCCACAGACTTATTTTTTTAATGTTTTTCGCTTATTTCTGAGAGAGAGAGAGAGACAGTGCGAGAAGGAGAGGGTCAGAGAGAGAGGGAGACACAGAATCTGAAACAGGCTCCAGGCTCTGAGCTAGCTGTGGGTACAGAGCCCGACGTGGGGCTCGAACCCACAAACCGTGAGATCATGACCTGAGCCGAAGTCTGGCGCTTAACCGACTGAGCCACCCAGGCGCCCCTATCCACAGACTTCTTGATACCCCCACCCATCAGTCTGCCCCATTGTTATCCTACTTGGAAACTCCTGCTGTTAGCTGTTATATTAAAAACTGGTCTTACATGTGCTCTCTTCTCGGAAACCCTCCTCCTCATCAAAGACAGAATGAATTTTTGATCTTTTGAATCATTTAGCTGTTTACATA